CTTAAAGTAGACTCCAAATTCATATAAAACATCTATACATTGTTATTTTCTTATTGTTTCCATGAAAATATATCAATAACATTATTTTCATAACACTTAAGACACCTTAAAAATCAAAAGTAGAGCCTGAGTTGATGCAGCAATGCTTTTAGAATATTTTTTTATTTCTATAATCATTGACATAGTTTTTGAATAAATGATCTTTGAAAATTTTTTAGATTAAATAAACCAACCACATAATTGTATGAAATATTATATTAAATTTCATCAGCTGTCTTAAAATGTGAAATATGCAATTTGGCAGTTCTTCTTGTTTACATTGAAATGTCAAAGCAAATGTAAACATTGTGAGTATTCTCATTGCAGCCATGGAGACCAATCAATATTTACTTTTAAAATCCTCACCTCAGAACTTTTAAAGCCAAAGGGGCAAAGCCCACGGTCAGTATGGAAGTGTGAATAGTCCTATAATGATCCTTGGTATGGTAACTATATTTTTGTAAAATTTAAGCCCAGTTGGTTCAGTAGTTTTTGCACCTATTAGTAATACACATACAGACAGACACCATTAGATTTTTATATAATAGTATAGATATAGATATTTATACGCCTAATGAAAAAAAAAATTGTTTATTCACTGGCAATTTAGTAAAATAAATATTCTGTTTTTGTTTTTGGTATACATTATCATCTCTCATAGGGCTGTTTTTTGTGAACACTACTCCTCCCTTATTTGTGGACAAATTTCAACGTGTAAGGTGTTAAAAAATTCGGCCCAAATCGTAGTTTTGCATTAAGGTTTTACATTTTAATACTTCTTACCCTTAAGGGCGTGAGACCCTTTCAAATGGCGGGTTTTCACCCTGTTAATAATTGTATTGCCTATCAACCTTTCTTCAGAAAATAATCTAAAATTTCCAGAAATGCTATTTAAGAGTTACATTAACTTTCTCTGAATTAACTGAATCAACGTACAATATATTTAATGCTACAGAATCCAACCGATTCACGACAAGAGTGCATGGTGGCGGGCTGTCGAGGTGGCACGTTGTCGCCTATGAGCGTTGACGGCACCAAACACTGAGCGTACACGTCAACCCGCCACCTCGTAAAAGAGTCGTTTTTGTCGCCTACGTGCGAGGTGGCGGGTTGCCGACATCGAACATGGAGCTTCACGACAACCCGCCACCTCTGATAAAAACTGGCGTTGGCGGGTTGTCGTGGTGGCTCATTGACTTGAGTGTGTACGACAACCCGCCACCTCGGAAAATTGTGTGTTGGTGGGTTGTCGTGGTGGCCTGTTGTCGAGGGGGCGGGTTGACCTGTAGGCCTACGTATACGTCAACCCACCACCTCGGTTTTTTTTGTGGTGGCGGGTTGACGCCTCTGACCAAAACACCGAGGGGGCGGTTTGACGTAGTGGCGCATTGACAGCGACCCTCGGCACGGCACTGATACTTGATACTTACTTAATACTTGTGTGCTGCGTCGTTGACCGACAATGTCGGATAGACTGCGTTATTATACCACCACTGGTGGGTGGTTTCTTCGGGTACAGTTTCTTAAATGGGCTATGCTAATATCGATTGGAACTATCGAATTGAAAATATTGATTAATAATCAATATTTTAAAATATATCTATTATAAAATTAATAAACTGTACCCTCATGTTAGCAAAATTCACTGCGCAACTAGAATTATTTATTGAGTATTATTGAGTAAATAATAGTTGAGAATTATTTATGCACTGTGGGATTATGCTTTGTGAGACCCCATGGTTAGTAAATGTTCCCATTGTTCCCGTTCCCGATATTGAATGTATTTTTTTGAGTCTCCAGATAAACCCTCATATAAATATGCTTATTGTAACCTCTTACATACCCCCACAAAGACCATCGGCTGATTATGATCGCTTTTGTGAAGGTGTTGATGAGATCTTATCAACCGGGCCCAACTTCTCCATGTGTCTCCTCCTTGGTGACTTCAACCTGCCGCATGTAGACTGGACTGCCAATATAATTATGCCATCTTGTAACTCCTCTAGAAGACTGATAGACTTGGCAACTCTACATTCCCTTTATCAAGTTAACAATGTGCCTAATGCCAGGGGAGTCACTCTTGATCTGGTCTTTTCCTCGTCTAGTTCTACTAAAGTCTCACATGCATTGGACAATATTCTAACTCTTGAAGATATTCACCACCCAGCTTTATCTATCGATCTGAATGTGGATACCTTTGCCGATCAAAAAAGCACACTTTATGTCCCTGATTTCAACAGATGTGATCTTGATATGATATATCAGAGTCTCCTCAACAAATTGGGTACAGAGTCTACTATAGGATCCCAGGAATGCAAGACAGTATCTTCAGCTGGTTCTTGGAAACTATCAGATCTACAGTTCTACAGTTCACACCTATGAAGAAACTTGGGGCCACACGTTTTCCATGTTGGTTCAATGCCGAGTTGAAGAAACTAGTCGTGCTCAAGAAGTCACTTCATGCTCGGTACAAATATTCATTGCTACGCGCCGACTACGAGGAGTTCAGTAGAGCTAGAGCCAGGTGCAAAATACTTGCTGACAAATGCTTCTCTGATTATGTTGCCCATATAAACTCTTCTGTGCCTAGTAACCCAAAAATCTTCTGGAGCTTTGTAAACAAAATGAAGCGTGATAGAGACTCGGCATGCAGTTATACATTCAATGGACAGCATGCGTCTGATCCAGCTGAAACATGTAATCTATTCGCAAACTATTTCTCTTCTGTATATAGACAACCTTCAACTCCACCACCAGTGTATTCATTCGACACTCATCTCAACATTTCATCTTGCGTCTTATCCCCTGAAGATGTCTTGAAGAAACTGAAGTCACTGGATCCTCACAAAGGAATCGGGCCTGATGAAATACCTCCATCCGTTCTAAAACACTGTAGCGAACTCATTGCTCCCCAGCTAACTGTTCTTTACAATGACAGCTTAGCATCTGGTGTATTTCCTGCTGAATTTAAAATGGGCTTCGTAGTACCAATACACAAGTCTGCGTCTAAAGAGGAAGTAAAAAACTATAGACCCATTGTGATTCAGCCTGCACTCGCAAAAATCTTTGAGAGTCTCCTTCTTGATGCAATTAGTTTTCCCTTCAAGAGCTTGTTAAGTGTGGCTCAGCATGGTTTTATGCAGGGTAGATCTACAAACACTAATCTTCTTATTTTGCAACATCACATAATCACAGCATATTCATCCAAGGAGCAACTAGATTGTATCTATATTGACTTTAGTAAAGCATTCGACTGCATCAGCCACGACCATCTTTTGGCAAAATTAAAAGGGTATGGCATAGTCGGAAGCCTTTTGCGATGGTTTGAATCATATCTTAAAGACCGCACCTTAGCTGTCAAGTTTGCAGGAGCCAAGTCAATCCCTTTCCCTGCGGTTTCTGGAGTCCCCCAGGGTTCTCATCTAGGTCCATTTCTTTTCAATATATTTGTTAACGATGTTGTGGATAGTATCGACTCTCAGTGCTTGCTGTTTGCTGACGATATCAAGGTTTTCAAGTGTATAAAATCTCAGGCAGACTGTTCCACCCTTCAACAATGTTTGCACTCAATCGGCAACTGGTGCCTGGATAACAGCATGGATATCAATGTTTCAAAGTCTGCAGTGGTATCTTATCACCGTACCGAGCAGCGTATTGGCTTCTACTACACGATGAATAATGCCATCCTGCCACGGAAGAATGCCATACGAGACCTAGGAGTTTTAATGTCATACGATTTAAACCCAGATCTGCACATAAATACAATCTGCAATAAAGCCTCTAAAGCTCTAGGTTTTGTCATTAGATGTGGTAGATACGGACTTGATGTTAATGCTCTGAGAACTCTTTACATGACTCAGGTTAGGCCTGTGCTGGAATATGGCAGCTTGATATGGAATCCACATCAAATCAGCCACATATCAAGAGTAGAAAAAATTCAGAATCGCTTTCTTCGCTCTATTGGCGTCAAGTTGGGCCATGAATTCTATACAGTGCCGATTGAAGATATTCGCATCGATATGGGCCTTCCTCGACTGAGTGACCGTAGACAATCTGCAGACCTGTCTTTCCTCTGGAAGTTGTTGAACGGCGAAGTTGATGCTCCAGAAATACTTCGCCTAATTAATTTCCACGTTCCTCGACACTTCAGGCACATTCAACTCTTCAACAAAGCTTCTTTTTCTACAAACTACGCCTTCCACAGTACAATTCCACGGCTCCACAGAATTGGAAATCAAGCATGCCAACATGTTGACGTGTTCACCTGCAAACTGAAAGCCATAAAAAATATCATAGTTTAAGTTGTTATTGTTATTTTGTTGATGAGAAATTGTCCTGAGATCACTGTCCGGAATTTGCACCTTGTTTGTTGTTTGCACATTCAGATAAATTTGTATTGCACTGTTAAAATTTTTCACTTAGTTTACGTCACTGTTATTAATTGTTGTCATTTTTTCTCTTTTTTTGTCTTGTCTGTCAAATATATTTATATTTTTGCTTGTTATTGTTATTATATTGAAATATTTATCAATTGTTATCTAGTTTTGGTAATCGTATTTTTCTCTAAAAATGTTTATGCTTGTTAACTAGGATTTATAATACGCATGATCCAATTTTTGTTAAAGCATTTTTGGACAATTCTGTTGGTGTCATTTTTTCATGTTAGCAATCTTTTTTTTTTTCAGCAAGATGAATCTGAATCTGACTTATATATATTTATAAATATTTTATTGTATTGCCCTCATGTATTATCGATTGTAAAAATGGTGTTTACCGTATGATAAATAAATAAATGCTGCGATATGCTGTAACCTGGAGCACAGACAATATTCCATTGTCTGTGCCTGGAGTCCTGGATACAGACAGAGTTTTCTTGGAGGGAAATTGACGAGGCTGACTGACAGAACATCAAAATCAAAATAATCTCAATCACTCAATCATGCTGTTGCTGTCTTTTGCTGTTGCTGTTGCTGGGGAAGCTGATTGCTGAATGCTGAAATTTGCTGATGATGTATGGTTTGGTTAGTGGTTTATGGTTGCGTTAAAGCGTCTCTCGTGCTCCTCGTCTGAACTTTCAAACTAAAACCTAAAACTAAACTTAGGATTTCGATTTAGGAACACTGTGGTACTTAACCATTCGTTTGTGTGTAAATTGTCTTATTAGTGTTTACATTATGTTATGAACTTGGTAAGTAAGATCAAAGACTAATTATTTTATTCTTTTGACTAAGTGAAGTTGGTCCCATTTTGTATAGGTCTAGGTTATAAGTCATACCTAACTTAAGTCATAAGACTAGGAAGTCATAAGTCTAGGAACACATTCATTAGGCCAACTGTTAAAACCAAAAGTACAGTAGGCTTATCTAATTCTAAAAGAACACGTTCAAATTTTTTCTCGGCTGTTTCAATTTCTAAGGCTGCTGCTATAGCCTATTCTTAGTTCTAGCCTATGTCTCCCAGTTAAATTGTACTTGGCTTAAAATACCTACTTTGTATGGTCGCCATTTAATAAGAAAGTAGCCTATTAATAAGAAAGTATAAATTATAAAAATTTATTGAGCGCAAAAATAAATTTTCATTTATTTATAATTTTTGAGAAATGTTTACCCTACAAAAATTGTTGACAATTTTTTTGTAATGTTTTATATATTATTCCTACATTGAAGCCCATAATTTCCCAAACAAAATGATATATAAAACAGTATAGGCCTTTATATTGTTTTTAAGTTTCTAAGAGATACATTTTAATAAAACCCTGCAATTGCGCAATAAATGAGTAACGTGAATTGAGTAACTTTTAAACTTTTATTAGTTACCTACTCAATTCACGTTACACTTTCACGATTTTTTGTACTTTGTTAACTTACCTACTAGGCCTATTGATTTTCTATTGAATTTACTATTGATTTTCATGTACCACATCATGTAGTATGAGGGCTCTAGAACTAACCTAACAACATTAATCTGTAAGGTAGGGAAAAAAGTTTAAACATTAGGCCTAGATCTTTACACATTCCATCTGTAGCAAGGGAGTCCCGACGCATGTTTTTAGTGTTCTCACAGGGGTGAAGAAGACTCTTAATAAAAAAGCTTAAATTGGCTAATCATCTAGAACAGTAAAAGCTATCAAAGGTAAAAGGTGTTAAGTTAATAATTTGATAATTTTGACTAAAATGCCGACCATACAAAGGTTTATAGCCAAAATATCGTCAAATTTCCATTTGCCTGCATTGATTTTCAATTAAATCTATTTAAATAACATTAGGTTTAAATAAAGAGTACCTCGGTTGGCTGCACTGTACTTTACGTCCTAGGCTACACTCATTCGAATGAAAATATTGATCGATATATCGATTGTTCGATATATCGATTGTTCGATATATCATTTGGTTAGTTAGGTAAGGTTAACCTAATCTAACTAACCAAACGATAGGTATATCGAATGAAACGCTCGATAAACCGATATTTTCATTCAGTTGTTTCATTTGAATGAGTAGGACGTAAAGTAAAGAGCAGCCCCTAGGTTTGCTGCTACAGGGAGGCTAATATAGTGTGTTTTTTAGTAAAATATCAATAACTTAGTATAAAATAAATAAATTTGCCAAGTTTGATAAAAATATATCCATAACCCTTTCAGTGCTAGGCCAATAATTTATATTTCGTAAGACTTTTTTGTTTGCCTTTTAATTCCATTAGGCCTACCTGTTGTTGAATTTTAACTGTCATGTTGTCACTATTTTATTAATTAGGTTAATTTTAGCGATTTCCCTATAGGGAAGTAGCTATTACCGTAGGTCTCATGGTAGGCCGGGACCGATTTACTTTTTCATTTTGATTTCCCCAGAGGCCAAAAACACCATTCGTTCAAATTTATATATATATATATATATATATATATTTGTCCATCCGCACGATAACTTGAGTAATTTTTGTCCGATTTTGATAAAATTTGGTTTGAAGGTGTAAGGCGGGATAAACTTGAACGATCCAGCATGATCGGACCATGGGAACGGGGGTTTATGGGGGGTTTTATGGGGTAAAAATACGTTTTTCCCATTTTTGACCCAAAAAACACAAAATTTCACAATATATTTTTAAACTATTTTGTAGAGCTTAAAAAAACAAATAATTTAGTATATTGAAGCGTTATTATGCGCCTAATTGTTACGGATAAAATTAAAAAAAAACTGTAATTTTAAAATTCCCATGTTATTCTTATGGAGGATAAGTCAACTGTTGTAGTTTGCTTGTTTATGAACATATTTTGATCAAATTTGGAAAATAAATTAATTTCTTACTAAACCACAGTACCTTTTAACATTTTACATTAAAAAAATTGTTATACCCTCCCTGTTGCAGCAAACCTAAGTACTTATTAAACTAATTCTGTTTAAATATAAGGGAACTAGCTGTACCCGCGGGCTTCGCCCCGTTTAACTTCATAAGTGTTCGCATGTCTCAATCACGTCCTTGTTGAAGTTCGTTCGCTACGCTCACTCACCTTTAGGTTGGAGCTCGTTCGCTGCGCTCACTTGCCTCAGGTCAGTTTTGGTTTCAAATTAGCTGTTGTCATAAATAAAAAAAAATTTAGTGCTGCACCCTGTTGGTAATCCTTGTAACTTTAATGCTATTGAACATCATAGGACAGAACCAACTTGTTTAATTGAAACAGCTGTTAAGATTCATTAATTCCTTTTAAATATGAAACATCATAAGGTTAACATGGGAAACTCCAGAGCCACTGGGGCGGAGCCCGAGAGTCCGATCAGAATAAAAACAACTTAGTTTTCCTATTTAATGCCTAAAGAATCAGTGTACCAAATTTCAGCCTCCTAGGTAAATGGGAAGTGGGAGAATTAGTGATGAGTGAGTGAGTCAGTCAGTCAGTGAGGGCTTTGCCTTTTATATATATAGATAATAATTGTGATATTTTTAAGGAAACATTTTAGTTTAAATTGAATCAGGCAAATGGAAATTCGCTAAGTCTGCAGGTTTGCTGCGGCGGGGGTATTGAATAATAACACAATAAAAAAATATAGGCTAACAAAGATAAATCCTGGTATTTGTAGTAAACATTAGGCTAAATAAATCTTAGTTTTTGTTGTAATTTTCCTGGTTTTCCTATAAATTTTTATGTTCTGATAGCATTGTTTGAAACCAAAATCTCATAAAATCAAAAGACATATAGTTTACAATGTAATATTGAATTTAACTTTGATTTAGTTGGACGAGGTTATCGTAATATAGCCATTTTAGGGAAACTAATGTTTTGCAGCAAAGTCTCAGGAACACATTTATGATCACTGTTGTGTTTCAACCATAAAATTTCATCTAAATAGTCCGTGACTAACTGGTGCTGCTACCTAGTTATGCATTGAACAACCATATGTAGCGTTATCTGTTCGCAATCGGTGGCGTCAGCTTAAATAGGCTACCGGTTTTTGACTCCTCAGTCTTCAAGCACAGATAGCCGAGAAGGCTAGGGCGTGTGTCACTTGGCCAGTGGCATTCGTCTGCTCGGGTTCGAATCCCGTCCTGTGTGGCAAATAATTGGTGACCTGTGTGTTTGTAGCGATACACTACAACCACTGGGGCATAGTGAGGTGTTTATAATCCTTGGTTTAGACATACACCTCGAAATCATCGGATTGGGCAAATCTTTTAGCTAAGTGGTTGTTAGTGTATGAACATGCAGGTCACCAATGGCCGTTTTGCTATTTTTTTTTTTTAAATAACCTTCCTCTCTATATACCTTAGAGATTTTTTAAAACAACAATATATCGTTTCATAGCACTGAAAGGGATAAACATGCTAACTAAATCATTTTACAATATTCTTCATAAGAATAACATGGAAATTTTAAATTTAAAATTTTTGAATTTTCTCTGTAACCAAAAACACTTAAATATACCACTTAAGTATTGGTTTTTTAAGCTCTTTAAAACGGGCTATATAGAGAAATTGGAAATATTTTGAGGGTAAAAAATGAGAAAAACTAATTTTAACCCCATAAATCCCCGTTCCCATAGTCCGATCACACTGGTTCGCGAACTCGTACGAACAAATGTAGATTTACATGTCTGTACCAAATTTCATTGAAATCGGATAATTTTTGCTCAAGTTAATGAATTTGAACATATGGTGTTTTTGGCCTCTGAGGACATCAAAATGAAAAGTATATCAGTCCCGGGTCTAGGTCTTACCATGAGACCTATGTTAATAGCTCCCTATATGGGAAATTAGCTAAAATACATAAAAGGACATTAGGCTAACATAAACAAAATTATTAACAGAGAAATAAAAATAATAATAATAATAAAAAAAATAATAAAAAATAAATAAATATTGGGGCTTGAACAAAGTGTTAATTTTCCTTTTAGGTTTGAAAGGATTTCTGGTTGAAAAATGCCTGTTCAGGACGAAGGAGGAAGTTTATTCAAAAAATGGTCTACGTTGATCAAAGCAGACAGAATCAGTGAAGTTCTAGTCGAAGCAGAGGTGAGTGCCATTGTAACTTGAGGTTTGTTTAGAAACAATAGCCTACTGGGAGCCACAGGAATATCAGGCGTTGTACAGAAATTTACTATTTGTAAGAAAAATGCAGACAATTTATGCATCTTATCAACGACTTATGTAGCCTGGTATAACATTAATTTGTTATTGTGAACTGAAAATAAAAGCTTATTATTTGTCTTCTGGGAGTCTCTATTCAAACTTATATAAATCACCATTTTCAACATTTTTGCGTGAAACATTTTCACGAAGATGACATTATTTTTGTGGAAAAATACAAGAATAGGCCTAAAGACGGTGATTGGTGCGAATATAGACGCGAGAAGCCAGTTTTAGGTGAGAATGCTGTACCTTCACTTTTCCCCAATTTACCTTTGAACAAATTTTTTGAGAACAGAAACTACCCTCTGTACCCTCTGTATGCCTCAACTTACCTCTTTAACTAGTGACTTTAATTTCTCTGTGAATATTTAAAGCTTCTTTTATCCCCCATCACTACTAGCATCTAGACTAACCAACACAAGTAGACTTCTAATCTTATTGGACTGTTGTACTTCAGGATTGTTTGAACTGGTGCATTAGTTCATTGCAACTGTGTGAAATCAGCAAGGAGTAAGATCAAAGACGAGGTTAGGCCTATTATGTTAGTTTAACCATTGACTAATTGGATACTGAAGGAGACATCCATTTGCACCATTGAGAACATCATGTAAGCCAATTTTTAAAGAATTAGGAGTAATGACTGATCAAAATTTAACAATTTTTTAAACAATACTTTTGGTGGTAGAAGAAAATTTTGAAAAATTATTCAGCCTAGTGAAAACGTTGAGCATAGGATACTATAGTCCTCGCCACCCTAAGTTGAGGCAGCCAAAGGCCGCACTAGATATACGCCGCGCGGCCTTGGGCTGCCTCAACTTAGGGTGGCGAGGACTATAGGCTTAAAACTAACTTTTAATATCCGCGGCATCCCCTTTCATTTAGTAGAAAAAACCCCCCGACATACATGGGCAAAAAACTATTTAATAAACTCTCAAGAATAAAAAAACGTCGCCAATTTTTTCTCAAAAAGTAGATAGTTATGTGAGCTAGTCACAAAATGGGCTAGTGTCAAAAAATGTATTTTCTACCTCATTTTTTTGCTGACATAATTAATGGGTTGTAAGAGATTTGCTATAGCTCACAATAAGTCTTTCCATCAGTTTGACTTAAGAAAAAAGTGTGTATATTCAATAGAAATTAGAAATTTACATCAGCACAATCTGTCGGTGGCTCATACTTATTCATACTTATTATATACTCATACTTACTGTAATTTTAATACTTTTCATTGAATTGGTGACCTCAGAAAGTAGGTATTTTAAGCCAAGTATGAATGGAGAAGAGTGTAGGATGAATCAACTACGACTATTTTGATTCAAAAGCTGGCAACAACTTTAACGTGAGGATGAGATGTCTAGGTTTAACGTAATAAACCTAAGTGTTTGACTGGAAATACATAGTGTAATAGCACTCTGAAGTAAAATTGAGCAAAATTAAAACGCTTGCTCCTGGTGCTCAGTAGGCTTATTTTACTCAGGTATACAATTACAAAAATATATCATCATCATTTGAGATGGGCACACCACCATAGACTAGCCAACACAAGTACTATAGACTTCCCATCCCATTGTAAAATTTGAAGCTCGTTTTTCTTGTTTACTTCATGTTGGTGACATTGGTCGCTTGTGTCGATGAAATTTTTTTTCTAATATTTTAGGGCTATTTTAATGATTTGTGCTTTACTGTTTGGTTATATAACTAAAATATGGGACGAGATATTTTTATGATTAGGTTGTTTTATTTGGTTAAACAAGGTTTTAAATGACTGAAATATCAATAAACAAATTGTAACAAAAACACAACTTCTACAGTGTAACAGACAGAACTATCAATAAAATTGTCTTCAGCTGATTCATAAAGATGAGAAATCTACTAGGAGTTTGTTTTATCATGTTACTAGTCTAGCTTGTAAGACTACAAATACAGCTGACAACACCATAACATATACTGTACTCCAATACAACTATGAGTTCTACAATAAGCATTGTAAACTAAACAGCGCGACCACGTCAAGGTCAGTGTGCATTGGGAGCAAATAGCGCTGGTCATTGCCAGTAGGCACTATCAATCAGGCACTAGGAGGGCGAACATGCAGCTGTGCTGTCTGTCTGCATAGGCTTAAAATTACTCGTTACTAAACGCCTGCTCCTTGCTGTATTTAATTCAAGTTCTGTTGTAACAATAGGTTTCAAGTTAATAATATTTTAAAAATTAGTGAAAAATGTATTATAAAGCTGACTCTGAACCCCCGTAAAGACCTAACCCTAAATCCTTTGGGGGGGGAGGGGCTTAAGCCCTTAAAGCCCCTCCCTGGGTGCACCACTGACGATGACGACATGTACACAAGAACATTAGTAGGCTACTTGTTTACTATATAGGTAAGTGAATCTACCCATATTAATGAATACTGTAAGTATTTAGGGGAGCCTACCAGTAGATCAACAATTTACTTCAGGGGTCTCTATGTCCCGCGAATGAATTTCATCCGGCCCGCGAAGGCCTGCTGAGAAATATTTATTTTATATTTTGTATAGGTACACAGATGATCGTCAAAATGGAGGCAACTCGTGAGCGTATCTTGTGGTCTCGGCGATACCATAATCGTCACTTGCGATCGCGGCAACACCTGCAAGTATTTGCGGTATCGGTGATATCATGATTGTCTGTTTTGGGCTGACACTGATTATGAAAATCATAATCGGTTTGAGATTCGCCTCATTTCATGCCTAGAAGCATCGGTCCACCCGTAAACTAATAATCGTCACTTGCGATCGTAGCAACACATGTAAGTGTGTTGTGATCTCGACAATTCCGTAAACGTCACTCGCGATTGTGGCAACATTCGTAAGCATATCGTGCGGTCTCGGCAAACCGTAATATCGTAAAGGTTTGGTTTTGTGTCAACCAGTGTTAGACTAGGAGCTGAGGGGGTTTGAGCATGCATGAAAGTAGTACGCAATATTATTGCTGATTATTGCAATATGGACTGTGGTGATCAAAATTACTTATGTCGCCTATTTCAAAAGTGGTCAATAAGGTGGGGGGAGGGGGCAAACATGGCTGGGGGCGCTATGCGTTAAAACGCTGATATTTTGGAAATGGTAAAAGATAGAAAATTGGTTCAAACGCCGATGTAATCCTATAAATGTGGACCACAATAATGGCAAGGTAATTATACCATAATATTATAGTCATTTATAGTCATCCAGGAGTCATGAACATGGAATTTAATAATAAAACTACGGTATTTCTGAAAATTATGTTAGATAACGGTGATTTAAACTGTGTCTTGCCATTAAAGTCATTAGTTATGTTTATATTTTACACATTTTTCATTTCATCGTTAAAATTGTAAAAAAAAGTGGTTTATCAATAAATATCTTTGAAATGATATTAATTTTTACGTGCATAATTTATTTGTCGAGTTGTTTGATTATTTTATGTTTTATGAGCCTTTTTACCATTTTAAAATATTTTTTATATGGCGTTGTGGGTAGTGAAATTTTTCAGAATTTAATGAGGAACCATTTAAACAATATTTTTTTTTTAATAATAAAAATAAAAGAGCTAATTAGATAAAACTGGCATGATGTCACCTTAAACCTGCCTCCTACCAGGTCTGAGTTGGAGACCAAACACCATTGTTCTTTTGGGATCGGACCATCTCATTTGAGCCAGGCCCGTTTTTGATCCTGTCAGCGCCCTAGGCACATCTAATAGTAGCGCCCCTTTGCAATATATATATAACAACAGGGTTCCCGTGCGGTACCGGGTTAGAATAGCACCGCAGCCTTCTCGGGCTTGTCGTAAGAGGCGACTAAAAGGGTGACCGACGAACTCACTGGGAGTCCCTAGGAGTGCCCCTGTTGTGTTGCAGGGGTTGATGTGTGCTCTGCACTGCCGATGGGTATTCTTAGTGGGTCGTGAGAAGCCAGCCACTTCGGTCCTTGGTCAGGGAGTGCGGCATGGATGTAGAGGTCGGGCTCTGCATTGCGATGGGCGACCCCCGGCACGTCAGGTATCCGGTGCTGGGCAAACGGAGGTCAGGCCCTGGGGAACTGGGGTAGGGGTTTTTGTCCCCGAGGGTATACCCGTTCCTGACTGATTCCGGGCCGCTCCTTGCCGCACGATGCGCTGGAATAAACACGATGGCTTTAAATAAAACCCCTCAAAACACATTTTTGATTAAGAGCTCAAATGAGCCAGAAAAGACGTTGGAAGTGGAGCGGAACGCTTTTGTCCGTAGCTCCAAGAAGCAGCGGTCGCCACCACCGAAAAACGTGAGGACATCTCCCCCACCTGCCACCTTCAAATGCACTAAGGAGTTCCCCCATTTAGGAGCTCCTTCGGCAAGTGGAGCTGGGAACGGTGCGGAAAACGTCGGAGATGCAGGTGTCGAGCTGGTGTTGCCAGCAACTCTCCCCCACTCTGCCAGTTCTGCTGTAGGGATGCCGGAGGAGCCATTCAAAGCACCGTTGAGGTCGGAAGGCTCTGAGATGGTGCTTCTGCGTCAGGAATATCTTGACGCAGAGAGTGACATTGAAACCCGGCTCCAAGACATGGAAGCTACGATCAAGGCTATGCTGGACACCTTCCGGACCCAGAAAGCCGTAAATCAAGTGGTCAAAAACAGCATGGCCAAACTGGAGGATGACCTTGGCTTCGTTTTTGCCTGCCGGGTGGTGAGTGCCATGGAGAAGATTGCCGAGAAGGTTGTGTCTCTGTCTGACGAAAGAACACTGCCTTCTAAGAAACGTAAAAGGCCTTCCACATCGGACAGTCCTCAAAAAAGAGAAGAGTAAGAGTAAAGGCCAAGGCGACACAATAAGTCTTTCCATCAGTTTGACTTAAGAAAAAAGTGTGTATATTCAATAGAAATTAGA